TTTAGATGATGCCGTTTTACACTTGAATGAAGATTTGCGTTCTCTAAGTAGATGGTTGAAGTATAAGCAGTTAAAATTGAATTCAAATAAAACTAAATTTATGGTAATTTCGCGGAATCGAGTAAATGAGAACGTCTCTGTTGTAATTGATGATGAGACTATTGATCGTGTGCGGGAGATTAAATATCTTGGCGTGATTATTGATGACACACTTAAGTTAAACTCTCACATTGACAATGTCATCAAGAAAATTGCCAAGAAGTATGGAATTCTATGTCGACTGAAAAACGATTTAACCATTGCCAGTAAAATACAGCTATACAAATCAATCATCTATCCTCATCTTGACTTTTGCCCTTCCATTTTATTTCTGGCCAATGCAACACAAATATCGAGATTACAGCGCTTGCAGAGTAAAATAATGCGTTTGATTTTGAGATGTAATAGATTCACTTCCTCAACTTTGATGTTAGACGCCTTACAATGGTTGTCGGTGAAGCAAAGAATTGTATATTTGACTATGGTGTTCATTTTTAAAGTAGTTAATGGTTTGCTGCCTCGATATTTGTGTGACCGAATTGAAAGAGGAAGTGACTTTCATAGATATAATACTAGAAACGCGGTTGAAACCAAAACACCACATATCTTGGACTTGTGCTTCACAAAATTCATTATATTTTAAATAGGAATAAATGTTTTCAATTCGATGCCTAGACATATCAAATATTCAGCCGCACTTACAGAATTTAAAAGACACTGCATTTCACACGTTAAAACTGTCTTTTGAACAGTTACCAGTGATTTTTTATGAATTGACAAATTATGTATCTTGACGAAGTTATCTCTAACGGATTATTTTATATGGATAGCTGTCATAACGACTTTTTAATAATTATTGTAGCACTGCACAAACTATTTCTGTTCGCCACGAGGGTGATGATGGATTTTTAATATTTGATTTAATAGTAGATTAATTTAAAAAAATAGTAGTCTACAAAGGTTTGAGCCTCGCGCGCGTATTACGGATATAGAGGACTGAATTTAACATTTGATGCACAAAAAATGCAATTTTGAAGCTTATTTGAAAGATACCTTAAGTTAGTAGTAAGTTTTCTGGTAAATGTTAGGGGTTCGTGAGCATTCCTGACATTGCTGAAAATTATGATAGCATCAGATTGCGGGGTTGCTAGTGTAATAGGATGCTTTGTTGATTGTTCATTAACTCTTGATTGCTTGTAATACTTATGAATATTTTAGGTGGACAAAAAGGCGAACTAAGAGGGTGACGCCTGAGCTTTTCCACATTTATATCGCTGTGAAGCAACTGTAAACTCTAGAGGGAATTTATATCTGTAACTGAAACCAGTTCGATTTTGTTTGCCAACCTGGTTAAAATGTCATATATAATTATCTTAAAGATAAATCGTCCAGCTCAAACCTTTGTAGGGGTAAGAGGTGGGACCATCATCATCAAAGTAGTTATGTAGTACAACGGCGCCGGTGGTGTTGTGGTAAGCGTGATTACCTCTCACCCCAGCAGGCCTGGGTTCAATCCCAGTCGGCGCCGCCGGGATGTTCTGAGGCATAACATCTCTGATCACGCCTTCCTTCGGAAGGGAAGTAAAGCCGTTGGACCCCGGTTCATGAGTTGATGGGTCGATAGGTGGTAGGGTCCAGGTGTGGGAGCTGCCTTCCTGGCGCGTCGGTAGCATTGGTGCTCAGCACGGAAAACAAGATCGATGAAAAACAAACCAAAGGAAAAAAAAACATTGTAGTATGACGCACACACTTGCGTAGATTCTCTACAATTCCCGTTCGGCAGAAAAAGCCCAAGTCTGTTAATCGCAACGTTCGGTCTCCAATTTTATTGCATTGGACCGCAGCTCGGTATATCTCATCTTCCGTTCATGCGGTCTCGACTAGCATCCTGCGATTTCCACATAATTGTAAGCAAATCTTACCATCCCCGGTTGGGTGTGGGCATTTGCGCCTCCACTTCGCGTTTTCTAGGGCGTTAATCTCGGACACACGTGATTTCAGGCATTAAATTTGCGTCATCATGTTGAGATTATTCCATAATTTCATAAAATATTTTTTTAGCCAAAATAAATTGAAGGCACCCTGTTATTAGGTTAATAAGCACATAGGTTTTGTAGTTTGATAATTATTAGAAGATTGCTTGTGCAATTATTCATGTATTGTAGAAATAAAGAAATAAGTAATTAAATTAAATTATATAGAATCAAAGAAACATATTAAGTACAAAAACTTTCTAGCTTCAACACACAAAAATAAAATTGGCAACATTGCTCCAGCGTAAAAAAGGGTTGGATATACAGTTCATTTGGCTCAATCCCAGCCAGTTCGTTCCTATATGTGACTCTCTCTATGATTTCCTATTCTGCTACCTGTATGGTAATGGCATTGGTGAGACTTTATATTTCCATATAAATACAATCAATTGATTATTTTATGCTGCTCGACATTGACATACGCCGTGTTTTAGCTTGTCGTTCAATTTAATAAACAATTTGAGATTAACTACTGCTAGCACATTTGACTAGAGCCCACATTCAAACTATCAACTGATAAGATGCTATACTAGCATTGATTCCTGCTATGACTAAGAGCATCCAAGTATTGTATGTTCAATGCTATATTGTCTATTGCAGGCAACCACTCTGGCCTGATTTGCAAAATAGTAAATAGGTAGCACTCAAACGCTGATAAAGAATAATTATGACATTTCACTTTGACCTTATCAATCGTCATTGTGACTTTCGCAACCGCACATCTTAAAGTAACCTTATTTTAGGGTATGATGCCAGGTTGCACTTTGGGACGAAAGGTGATTCAAATATGACATGCACGGGGTGAGTATCCTGGAATTTGTGACACTACGTGTAATAAGTTTGGGGAAATACAAGACATAGGGTGGAGGAGACTTAAACTCGATAAAAGTGTAGAAATAATATTTGAATCGCACCCAAAATAAAATCAATAAAATCAATTAATAGACTTCAGAGCTGCCCCGTTATCGCATCATTGAAGCCACAGCACACATTCCTGGAGTTCGATTCCCGGTTCGGTGGAGGAACATTTTGGGTTGGAAGTTTACTCGACTTCTCTGGGCATAGGGTATAGGCATGCATAAGCCACAAAATATATAAACCATATCATGCGTGCGTCATATTTATCTTAACATAATACTTTTTTTCCGTACTGTTCTGCCCGATTTGTTTACAATAGCGGCCTCGTGCTAAGCCTTAGCATCTATCCTTTTCAAAGAGCATCAAATTTCAACCTGAACAAACGGGAAATCAATAGTGATAATAAATTTAATATTTTTTTTTTTCAATTGCGTCTACTATGATGATGATGGTCCCACCTCTTACCCCTACAAAGGTTTGAGCTGGACGTTTGATCTTTAAGATAATTAAATGTGACAATTTAACTAGGTTTGCAAAGAAAATCGAACAGGTTACAGTTGCAGATATAAATTCCCTCTAGAGTTTACAACACACAACACAGCGATATAAATGTGGAAAAGCTCAGGCGTCCACCTCTTTTTGTCTACCTAAAATATACATAAGTATTACAAGCAATCAAGAGTTAATGAACAATCAACAAAGTATCCTATTACACTAGCAAGCCCGTAATCTGATGCTATCATAATTTTCAGCAATGCCAGGAATGCTCACGAACCCCCGACATTTGCCAAAAAACTTAATACCAACTCAAGGCATCTTCCAAATAAGATTCAAAATTACATTTTTTGTGTATCAAATTCTAAATTCAGTCCTCTATATCTGTACTACGCACGCGAGGCTCAAACCTTTGTAGACTACTTTTATTTTATTAATCTACTACTATTAAATCAAATATTCCGTCGGTGATTGGCACTAGATTGCGGAACAGAGACCGACGTTAAATAAAGGAAAGAAGTAAATCAAATATTAAAAATCCATCATCACCATCGTGGCGAACAAAAATAGTTTTTGCAGTGCAGTCTAAACTCATCACATGTACCTAACCACAACAACCGAACAATAGATCACTAGCAATTGAGGATATCCCGCCGGGTAACAAACGGAAATTAAGAACAATGATAATAAATTTATAATAATGTTTTTCAACTGGGAAGACCTTCTCTGATTTTCATGAAACATTGCATAATTTAGATAGAGCTGGAATTAGGGCGTCACAGCTTTTGTAAACAATGTCTTCTCTTGATGATTTCTAGAAAGTCAAGGCTTGTTCACGCAAATCAACATCACCATCTGAAATCATCGAGAGAAGTCATTGTTTACAAAAACTGTTACGCCCTAATTCCAGCTTTATCTAGAATTGTTAGTTATGAGCAATCAATCACATGTGTTATGAAATTCAACCATTTTGAATCTTGCAATTTTCTTAAAATGGCATAGGCCGGAACAAACCTCAAGTTTTTCTTTAAAAAAAATGTACGGATGATTGCCAAATGTATCTATGACGCGTTCAAGTACAGAAAATACGTTGTTTAGGGATGCCAAACATTACTTATCACATCGTAGTTTATCCAAAAGTCAATGATGATACTATTTACAGCCATTAAATTAAAACACCCGATATAATGCTACAATACCTAGCGAGTACATACTGATTTATCAATTGATGAAACACAGAACAACATACCGGCAGTGTTATGAGTTTAGTGATTTTCACACCACCACCCAGCGAGTGCGGAAATCAATGAAGCGCACGGTAAACAAATTGAACGATCTTCAGCTGTTATTTCCAAGTCCGACAACGAGGTTTATTTATTCAATTGATTCCCTGCACGCCGACACTCCGTGAAGATGCATTCGAATGCACCAAATCGGATCGACGCACCATTCATCACCATCTCTCGTAAATACTAATGACCCGTAGTGTCATTTGAGCAACTGGACGCGCGTACATTGAGATTGTATTTTAATAACTTTTCACATGCATTTGTACTGTGCAGTCCACTTCTCTCATTTCCAGTCTAGTGGATCGGTGGTTAGTCGCTCACAGCCCACTAACAGGAGTGGATTACATTTGTATATATGTATACGTTCTGAATGTTCTATCAGCGACCGTGAGAATCAGATCATACAATAAGGCATAGCGTGAAGAATCAGTGCACTACACTAAGGCAGTCGGTGGTCTAGTCAAATGTAAATAGGATTTGCAAAACTCCTGTATTCGTTTACAATTTACTATATAGCTCGTTATCACGTTAAGACGTCCGAATAAAATCACCGGTGTACTTACATTTCATCAGTGAGTGCCAGAAACATCTTCCATCTACGGAAAGTGGTAAGTGTTTTATTCAAAACGGTAACTCAAACAAAACTGAACTCGAAACGAACCCCCGCAGAGTGGAACAGTTTATGTGGAAAAGTATGAAAATCAATCTGAAATCATTTTGAATTTGTAAAGATGCTGATATTTGATTCAGAACATCAATTCATCCCTAACTGCAAATATTGAAGCTCAAGAATATATTATCTCCAACGTGTGAACAGTGAGTGCATGTGACTTAAATAGCATACCGTCCAGTGTCGAACTGCAGACGGTATTGATTTCCATACAAAATATAAAGATATAAGTTTCCATAAACTGATCTAAATTGATTAAACATAGAAAATAACCGGTCGTTGAAAATCGATGTTGTCCAAAGTTAAATACAGCACGGTAAATATCGTTCACTGATAAGCTTGTTGTCGGCGTGAGAATAGTTGTTTACACACGCACAAGATATGAAACTACAAGGTCATTACCACAATGAGAAGTGGTAGAATATTCAAAACAAATTTGGATTTGATGAATAACCCTATACTGTATAAATGGTTCTTATTTTGCGGTATAAGCTGATACATCTTTGATTATTTATGTATCAAAAATGATAAAGAAATAACGAGAAAGATACTAAAAAGATACAAAATCATAAGTTTGCGTGTGTGCGTGAGTGCGTGTGCGCGTGTGTGTGTGTGTGTGTGTGTGTGTGTGTGTGTGTGTGTGTGTGTGTGTGTGTGTGTGTGTGTGTGTGTGTGTGTGTATATGTGTGTGTGTGTGTGTGTGTGTGTGTGTGTGTGTGTGTGTGTGTGTGTGTGTGTGTGTGTGTGTGTGTGTGTGTGTGTGTGTGCGTGTGTTTGTATGTGTGTGTGTGTGTGTGTGTGTGTGTGTGTGTGTGTGTGTGTGTGTGTGTGTGTCAGTGATTTTTTTAATAAGGTTTGGGGAAGCTTCAAAATGCTTGGCCTGTAGTGAAGTTAACACGGTGCGGTATCCTGAATAAATTTGTTATGGTTATTTTGCTAAACGACGTGTTTGGGGCATCATCCAAACAATTTATGGAATAGTTCAATCATTTAGGTTATCGTTCTGTGGTATATTTTTATTAGGGATCTACTAGGTGCCTAGTGCAACTCCACTAAAACCCATTCCTTACTTTCTCCTCTGCATTGACCGCCCCGGGACCACGGTGAAGCGATCACTTCGGGGGTTGGCTGGGCTCATGCACTGTTCATACTCTCAGCGATAGCTGGCGTTACTAGATCGCTGCTCTTCTCTCCATTTACGCTGCAGTCCCACTGTTCGACTGTCCGACAGTATTTGAGCGACTACCCTGCTGACGGCATTTCAAGTGCCCTCCTCTCGATACATTTATTCGACGACATTCTCCACGTTAAGGACGGACATCTCCCTTCGCACTGTCTCACCTTGGACGTGTCCGAACCGTTGCAGATATTTCTTGAAGCAGCCGTGGCCAGACAGGAACTGCGTTAGGTGGAAGTTGACTTTCAGGTCACCCAAGTCGAAAGAATCGTTATTAGTCTATGTGTCCATCTACCGTTCTCAGCCGTGTTCCACTCCTGTTGCCACTTAGCCAACGACTCCGCTCTCACAACTTTCCATACTCTTTCGGCTTCTCTCCTCCTGTCGCACTCGCTGTCCTCCGCCAGGGTGATGCCGATAGGGTTCATTCTGGCGATAACGCATACTGCTTCCGACGAGATGGTTCTTTACGCCCTCACGACTCGCATGGCCGTGAGCCGGAACGTACTGCTCAGTTTCCTTTGGTTCTGCTTCGTTTCCAGCACTGTACCTCAGTATCGACGACGTCGAGTGTAAAACCGAACTGTCAGTGCGAACCTCAACCTTAGGTAGGTTTTACAAATCAAACGATTAAACTGACGTTTGTCGGAAAACAAATTTGTTATATCTCTCCGACAATCCGTGCGCACTCTCCATGCATTTCGTTAGCCTGTTTAGTATGATGCTCTCCAAGAGTTGTCCGACTGTATCCAGCTGGCATATAGGCTTATACGATGCTCGATCCCCGGCGGTTTTCCTGGTTTCAGCAGCAACACTAGCTGTATCTTCCAGTTGTCAGGGAACATGTCCGGGACGCCTCGATTGCCATTTTCAATGCCACGTTGGGGATTCCATCCGGACCGGGAGCTTTCTTCGCCTTCAATCCTTTCGCCTCTGCTCGTAGGTGACTTCAACGTTATCTTCCTCTCCTTCTCAGTACGGTGTATGTGGCCAGGTAGTTAGGTCATGCTTCGGGAATAGTCCTTCCACGATGACTTTCAGCTTCTCTTGGTACAGTGGGCTTAGTTAGTCCTTTGATATTTACCATCACGACTCCGTATGCGTCGCCCCAGGGGATGGCATAAGCGTCTCGGCACAGCTCCTTCAAACAGTTTAACTTGCTCTGCTTTATCTCCCGTTTAAGTGCGGCCCTGGCCGCTCCGAGCACTTTTCCACGTTACTATCTGTCTGCTTCTGTTCTTGCTCTCTGAACACGTCTTCTAGATCTGAGACAACTAGCGCGTAGGGTGCTCAGTGCCTCGTTCCACCAGTAATCTGGACTCTGTCTATTATTTGACTAAAGTTTCCTCGGCGTGGTCATGTCACATGCTCGAAAGCCTTCGTCTTGCACTTCCGGTAGCAAATTCTCGTCCTCCGTACTGCCCCAGTATTCCGTTGGCCGATGCCATATTGGATCTTTTTTTGGTTTGTTTTCCGTGCTGAGCACCAATTCTACCTACGCCAGGGAGACAGCTCCGACACCTGGACCCTACCTATCGACCCATCAACTCATTAACCGGGGACCAACGGCTTTACTTCCCTTCCGAAGGAAAGCGTGATCAGAGATGTTATGCCTCAGAACATCTCGGCGCCGACTGGGATTGAACCCAGGCCTGCTGGGATGAGAGGCAATCACGCTTACCACTATATCACCGGGGATGCTATGGGTATATCCTTCACACACTCTCCAATTCACGTTTTCAACCAACGACGGACTGCAAGTGATGTCGATAATGGACTCCGTTCCTCAGTATCGACGAAGATACACTAGCCAGAAGACGTATCTTGCTACTGCTTGACCTAGAGTTGTTCGGCATGATTCTTGCTACCGCATTGATGGCCTTACCTGCCTTCTCGCAGGCATAGTCAACGTGGCTGTTGAAGTTTTGCCGGTCATCGATCATCACTCCTGCGTATTATAAAGAAAACTGGCAACTTGGCCTAAATCCAAGCGACAGACACAGCAGCGCTGTACTCGAGCAAAGGTGGAAGCAGCGCATAGAAAAATGAGCAAATGCACAAACCTTTCTTCTGAGGATGGAACCTTTGCTATTTAATTCGATCGAAGCATTTACCTTTGAGCGGCAGATGACGCGATTGTGCTTGTCTCATGCCGGTCGTTTGAGAAAATGGAAGAGTTGCCAGTCTTCATGATATGTTGTCTTCGGTATTATGCTTCAGTGATAGGAAAAACTCAAAAACTGAAATCACATGAGTTCATTGCCATGCGAAATGCGCAAATATCACCGATGAGTTTTCAGGTTAAAAATATCATTTGCTTTATATTGCGTTATCGATTGTCATTAGTTTTGTATTGCATCTTTTGATGGAAAACTAACAAACCATGTATGAGCATGCTATCAATTAATGTTTGAACGGATCTTATAAGTTTTAACCTGGAATGATTGTTTGGCATTGTGAGTGTGAGTGCGTAAATATACATAAGAATCTCAAACGTGAGATTTGTTTGCCAGATTCGCAAGCGAGTTTATTCTCTCAGGGAGGCTCAATGAATGTGATTTGAGATTGATTTTCCGAACACTGATGCTTATATATTATCACTATATTATGCACTGAGGCTAGAAAATCATCATGTGTTCATTTTATACGAATTTATTCATTCTCCAAAAACTTTTTTGAACGCTACAGTCTACTGTAAAATTTGCCATAACATTTTTCGTAAGAAATATAAACAGAGGATGTAAGAGGCAGTTCATATGCAACGTCAACATTTAAGGGGGAGGGGGGTCCACGATCCATACAAATTTTAATAAAACATCACTTAAGAAATCCTCACTTACATTTTATGTAGATGCCATTTCTCAATGAACATTTCAAATGGTCCTATCTGCTTTAATCGATTCTCTTAGCGGCGCTGGTGGTGTAGTGGTAAGCGTGATTGCCTCTCACCCCAGCAGGCCTGGGTTCAATCCAAGTCGGCGCCGCCGGGATGTTCTGAGGCATAACATCTCTGATCACGGGGAATTAAAGCCGTTGGTCCCCGGTTCATGAGTTGATGGGTCGATAGGTAGGGTCCAGGTGTGGGAGCTGCCTTCCTGGCGTCGGTAGCATTGGTGCTCAGCACGGAAAACAAGATCGACGGAAAACAAATCCAAGGAAAAAAAAATCGATTCTCTTCATCGGCTTTCTCTTTTCATAACGACTGCTATGCAAAAAGATTTCGCGCTAATTCTACCACATAGTTTGATAAAGGAGGTTCTTATCTAGCGTCCAAAACGTCAAATACAACGGGGAAAAGTTTTGCAACTGAGTTATTGACGAAAGAGAAAGTCGATGAAGAGAATCGATCAATGCAGATAGGACCTTTTGAAATTTTTATCTACATTTGTTGTGCGTGCATTACACTGATGCAAAAATTGAAAATTTCGCTCCACAGTGTTCAAACGGTTCCTATTTGGTTTCTATCTACTCATTTAGTAAGAAACTGACTTGACACAAACCATTTGATGTTTATATGGAAATTACTATACGAAAACCAAATTTTGTATTCATATCTATCTAATAATTAACCCTATTACTCTGCTGTAAAAATTAATAACTGTACTTGTAGTAAATTTTCACAGCTACAACTTTGTTCCAGATCAAATGTAAGGATCAAAAGTTATTAATGATTCAAGACACTATTGTCTTATGATTATGCTCAATCAGCAGGCAACATTGGTGTTTCTGGCGTGTAGAATAGAGCTAAAACATCATGCTAC